CCTCTACCTACCACCTGAATCATGGCCAGAAAGTCCTGCCATTGGACTGAATGAGGACCCTTCTGAGCTTCGTAAAGCAAAGTTTTGTGGCCTCACTGCGACGATCCTGTAACACCACTGCCAGATGCGACTCAGTTCTCAACCTTTGAGGAACTCCTGGAAGCTACCTCTAGATCCATGCATGAGGCGGCGGAAAAAAACAGGTGACCCACGATCACCGGAGTACCAGCAAGCTGAAACAAACCTATTAAGGAGAGCCCAATTAGACAGTTTTCCAACAGAATATCAAGCTCTTACAACTGCTAAGCCAATCCCTTCATCTAGTCGTTTGCTCACATTGTCACCAGAGTTAGACGAAACGACTGCACTCATCCGTGTAGGAGGACGACTACGTCAAGCTACCCACTTAAGTTACAGTGCTGCACATCCCATAGTCTTGGACCCAAAACACCCTATAACTCGCCTCCTTATTAAGCAATTCGACACCAAACTCTGTCATCCTGGTCCAGAAAGGGTATTCGCAGAAATGCGAAGATGTTACTGGATCCTCAGAGGGAGAGAAGCAATAAAGCGCCATCAACATTCCTGTGTCGACTGCCAAAGATGGAGAGCCAAACCTAATATACCAAAGATGGCAGAACTTCCTCCCGCCAGAGTCCGCCTACTGAAACCGGCCATCTTTTCCACAGGGGTAGATTGTTTTGGCCCATTCCAGGTAAAACAAGGGAGGAGCAATGAAAAGAGGTGGGGAATCATTTTTAAGTGCATGACTACCCGCTGTGTCCACTTAGATCTACTGAGTAACATGGATACAGACTCCTTTCTGATGGCTCTTAGGCGTATGGTTGCTCGACGTGGAACTCCTTCTGAAATCCTGGCAGATCAAGGCACTAATTTTCGAGGAGGTGATAAAGAGCTACAGACAACTTTCAATTCCATGAGCCCACATCTCCAAACCCAATTAGCGAAACAAAAGATACAGTTCCGGTATAACCCCCCAAACGACCCACATTTCGGAGGTATGTGGGAGCACGAGATCCGTTCAGTTAAAACTGCCCTACGTACCATAGTAGGGTCTCAGATCCTTACAGAGGAAGTCCTCTGAACATTCCTTATTGAGGTGGAGGGTATACTCAATGCAAAACCACTGGGGTATGTTTCTTCCGAAGTAGCGGATCCAGATCCGGTGACCCCGAACTACCTGTTGATGGGGCGGCCAGATGCATCACTACCACAAGTGATTTACCCAGAATCCGAAATTCTTAGTCGGAAAAGATGGCGGCACTCACAAGTATTGGCAGATCAGTTTTGGACAAGTTTTATTAAGAATTACTTGCCCAGGCTGCAACCACATCAAAAATGGATGAGTGAATGCAGCAACCTCACACCTGGGACTGTCGTTATGGTAGTAGACCACCAACTTCCTCGTGCTATGTGGCCTGTCGGCAAGGTAATAACCACATACCCTGGATCGGATGGCCGGGTCCGTTCAGCAAAGATCGAGGTAAAAAACAAGCACTATCATCGACCAGTGTCTCGTCTCATCACACTGCCTGCTATCCCAGATAATGACCCTACAACAGACTAACAAAGAAAATGGAGAGTACATTTGCTAAGCAAGTGTAGGGGCGGCTGTAGAAGAGGAGGTCAGCAGCGCCATCTGCTGGTAAACTTTATTATCCATTCAACAAATATTCCAACAAGCCGACATAGTGATCGTGCCACGATCACGCTGTCATGCCCTGATCACGCTGATGGACAGCCAATGAAACCACAGCATTGGTTGGCTGACTGTCAGCAGAACTTTTAGTTTCGTTTCGCTTTATCATTGAGAGATGGTTCATGTGTTGTTTTCTTCCTAATTCCTGCTTGAGTCGTGTGCGTCAATGACTAAAAGTAAGTGTTTATTTATCTTGTATATTGCTGTTGTTGCTGCTGATCAAGACTAGCCTCTGAGTTGTTTATATAAGATAAAATGAAGCACGAAAGCCAAAACCCAATACATTATTTGGAATCGTGTTATGTGAGCCCGTTTAGGCCAATGTGGCATATTTCCGCCTAATAGAAATGTTAGTTTGATTATGTGTATGACGAATCTGTCAAATGTACACTCTGTATATTGACCTATGCATATGCATGTGCATTTGGTTTATGAAGCTAACAAGTTTAATGATGTACATTATTTATGTATATTGTGTTAGTGCTTAGTACAGCTTTACATCTACTATGTTATCTAGTAATTTACATGTGGTAATGTTATGTTATTCTAGACTCACTTAATTTACGTAATTTATTTCTTCTTTCCTTTGTTTAGACCACACACCACATACATATACACAAGCAACTAAGTTACCATCCATTCCAATGTAACCAGTGAACTTGATGGACATTAAAGTAATTTAAATAGGTTTCCTGTCTCCGTGTCCTTACCGACACACCATGGCGATGACCAAGTCTACCTAAGAACCAGTCCACCTTCAGTACAAGAGCCGTAAGGTTTTTTTTTGTGTGTGCCCAAGCTGTGCTCTGTTTCTCCAACATGACATCATGACTTTGCGTAAACATACACGCCACTTTCAAGTCAAGTGGCGTGTTATCTATACGCATTTTGAGCTATCCGCGTGTATGTTCACGGCGAAATCTTTTGCGTGTATGTCTACGCCATTAAATGTCCGAGTGATTCCGCGTGTATGTGTACGCCGTTAAATGTCCGAGCGAAACGAAGGAAAATCTATATCTACATCTGTGGAGCGATATTTCTTTTCCTAGGATGGTAGGAGAAGACTCATAAATGGAATTAACCCCAGTGACGGGTAGGTTTAGGGACAGGGTTGGGGTAGGTCATATATTGATACATAATACAGTAATATAACGTTAAGTCAAAGGCGTTGATAAACACGCTGAAAAGCGATTATGCGTGTTGATAGCACGCCAAAAATGGAAATACGAATTGGCGTGTCATACATACGCCATTTCATGAGATCAGTCTGGTTTCTCTCTCTCTCCCGGTCTCTCTTCGTAGGAGAAATGGTTTCCACCTGATGCCAATATTCAATGCCCTGCTGTGATTGGATGCTGGGAGGGGAAGGAGAGTATTTAAACTGCAACCATCATCAGAGCGGTGTTGGAAAAATGCAATTTATACTAGGATATATTTTTACAAAATAACTTGGGAAATGATTGTTATAGTTTTATTTTTCATTATCTTAGAATAAAATTTGTTGGAGAGGATTAAAAGATGTCATTTTGATCCACATTCCATACCAGTCGGTGGCGGTAATACACCATTTTGTTGTTTGTCATCCGCCAGACTTGATGTTGTGACTTGATGTTGTGTTGAAGCAAGTAGTTGGCGGTGTTGTGTGTCTTTACCTCATTTGTGTTCTCCTTATTGAAGTAAAGTTTTCTCTCATTAGTCTCTTTTGATCACACTCTATGATTGAGACTTAAAAGGCAGAAGTGAGTGTTAACTTCAATGATTATTCATTGTATGGTTTAATTCATCTGTATTTTTCTCTTGGTTTACTTGAAGTTGGCTAGTTAATCATTTATTTCTTTATTTGTGGGGTTAGTGGGGAGGTGGGTGCCATTTATTTTGAACTTGACTTTTTCTCCTGTTTATGTTAGCAAGGGAGTTAGCTTATTTTGCTGTAAAGTGGGCGGGCGGGGCCGGTCGTCGCCATCTTGGCAGCGCGTCACGTGTGCCAAGCTGTGCTATCCACTACCGGATAAAATAAAATGGGCAAAGAGGCGTGACGTGGGTGGAGCTGAGGTGCTAATGCTATATGCTACTGGCCTCGCGCTAAAGTGACAGCTGATTGAAGAAGTAAAGCCAATAGTTAAAGTTCATGTTTTTGCCCTTCGAAATATTAGTTAAAAGACGTAACTAAAAGTGAGACTGTGTATCGTGATGTATTATTATTCTGCTATAAAATTTTATTTTAATTTTATAAAAGTGTATTAAATAATCTAGAAAAAAGCACAAACACGGCAGAGATGGCAAGTACAGCAGCTGCTGGAATTAGCTGAGAGTGACGCTAACAGACAGCAGACAAACGGCCGCAATCCTCCTGTCACTCAAGTGGCCACACCCTTAATTATGCAGGCTTAATATAATTTAAACGGATGAGTTGTAAAAAAATTCACCCCCCTCACAGTTGTCATGAAGGGCAAAATAAGCTATAAAGACCAAAACCACTTTTTGCTCCAGGCTGTAAACATGTTTTTTTCTGCTGTAAAGTTGGGCATTTTAACATGGGGGAGATGCAGATTTGACTCTCTTCTGCCTCCTGCCTCAAGCGGTCAGTACATGAATTGCAGTTTAATTCACTTCCGTGTTGGTTTCAAGAGAGAGACAGGGAGGTTGCCGCTTGTGTCTAATCAGCATCTTGATATGCCACACCTGTGAGGTGGATGGATTATCTCGGCAAAGGAGAAGTGCTCACTAACACAGATTTAGACAGATTTGTGAACAATATTTGAGAGAAATATGCCTTTTGTGTACATAGAGAAAGTCTTAGATCTTTGAGTTCAGCTCATGAAAAATGGGGGCAAAAACAAAAGTGTTGCGTTTATAATGTTGTTCAGTGTATGACCTATGGGCAAATTGTAGGATCCATGTGGGCCACTAGCAGCTCGCAGTGTATCGTGACATAAAACTCTACTGTCATGTAAAGAATTGGCATATTTTAAAGGTTTAAAGCACACATATGCTGAATACTACATTGGCAAGTGCCTCATGCAAACATAGAAGCAAATGATGGCCACCATTCAAATGAAGTTGAGCACATGTGCTCTTCCGTCAAATAGGCCTGACCTGATCTATGCAAATAATGAGAAAGAGGCTCACCGCAAAACATTGTCTGGAACAGCTGTGACGTTTAACCATGATTATGACTGATGTGTAACTTTTTAAAGTACAGTTGAGAACTATGCTACAAAAATCGACACAGTGAGCTTTCAGCCTTTTATGCTTCCAGTCTTATACAGAAATGTCATACCTGATAATCTTGATGTTCAACTCCAAATCTCTCTCTCAGATTCCGGAACACAAGTGGGCAGTACTCCTTAAACTTAAAATGTCCAGGGAGGTTTTCCCTAAATATTTAAACATAAATAAATAAACATTGGGAATTTTAACAGTGTAAGTGCACCTTTAATAAACTCTCTTTCCTTAAATAACAAAAACTTAAACAAGGAAATACTAAAGAATATATATTTAACCATTATCCTTACAGTTCAAGCGTTGCTTTACTAACATGCTAAAAACTTAATTGATTAATTACACAAAACTGGATAATATTTATCATGTGCATTAATTGTAATGCTTTTAAGGTTTTACTCCTCATACCCAAACTATTAGTAGATATATACTTTTTTTTGGCTTACTGGGGCTTCACAACATTAAGGCACAGTTTTTTTTTAACACACAACATGAAGAGTGAAAATTGCTACAAAAAAAAGACTTGATAATGATCATTCTGCTCTGAAATAATAATAATAATTACTATTATTTCACTACTCTATTACATTTAATATTCTAATTAACGTTATATTCAATGTAGAAACCACACACTCACATTACTGTCAACATCAATAATAATGGCAAATACCTTGAGTGCATGCATTTGCATGCATTTGTGTACGAATAAACAATATTTTTTCTTGTTTTGTTTTTGCTTGACAATTGTGGTGATTGCATTTAATCAAAAGAACTGTGTCTAAGGTTGCATTTCATTGAGATCACAAGTCTGGACTGTTTGCCAGCAACCCCCACCAACACCAAAACACAACCCTGTCTCCATACCACAGCGGATTATGAGTTTTACAAAAGCTTTGTGCAGTTCATTGTGCACAAAATAGTCTAAAACTGTGACAATGAGAACAAGTATTTTCTAGATATCAATATTTATATCACTTGCATCTCTTTGAAAAGAAGTGGAATTTAAGTTAAATAGAATTATCTTTATCAAAACTAAAGGGACATATAGGAGGTGAAAATATTTGTATATTTATCTTTATATACGGCATATTTGCAAATTTATCATGTCTTCTCAAACTGTATCCTAAAGTCCAAATACTCAAATGTGCTAAAATTGACATTGGCTATTCATCTGTCAGTCAAAAAATCTTTCTGTTGAGTTTTATTCTTCAGAAAGTATTTGTTGCAGAGTGTGTTCGATAGACCATACTTGTTGAATAAATGGTTGTTGACTTTCATTTTAATGTTGGCTTTGAAGTCATCTGGAAGTAGCATTACTGGCATTGGCACTTGGAACAGGTCATTTATCTGTAAAGGTTAAATGCAGGAAGGTTAAAAGTAAAAGGAAGACTGAAAAATTTGTATTGCTTTATGTTATTTTTATGTATTAATGACAGCCATTCTCCCAAGCACAATAGGGCAACATATCATTTTTAAGCGTTACAGGAAACTAAATAGATCGATCTTTTTAGATTTAGAATAAAGAAGGTCAGTAGTAACATACCGTGTGATTGATGCCCCACATAAACACAGTCAGGACGGGGTCGCTGGCCCAGAATATCTCCACTTTTTGATGCACAAAATGTTTTTTCTTGCTTTTTGTTCTTGAAAGTCTTCTTGAAATAGCCCCTGTTTTACCAGGGGAAGACATAATTGCAGAAATGAACCCAGGTAATCTTAGACCAAAACAACAACTTGCCTCCTCAGTTGTGATGATGAATGTCTTGAAATGTTAGGAGACCTTAACGGTTTCAATGAACCTATACAGTAGAGGATAAACTACTCCGCTGACTTCCTCCAAAATAGCTTGAGAGAATTAAACTTGTCATAACTTGATCCAAAACAGTCACATGTAGAGGCGTGTAGTTTTTCTTCTAAATTAAAGCTCCTCCTAGATCAAAAGCAATAAGTCTAGCAATTTTTTAATAAGAGCTTTCCTGATAAGTTCAGTGGTGAAAGAGCAAAATAAAATGCATGTTGTGCATGTGTGTGCTGAGGTGGGGTGGTTAGTTGTGTTGACACAGTCAAATATGTGCTCGCCATTACTGCAGTGACCGAGTTTAGCTTACCAACACATTTAAAGGGGTCCTATGCTTTTTTCATCTTAAACTTTCTGTAGCGTGTAATGTTTAGAAAATCATAATGTTAATTTTATAATATTTTCATGCCTTATAGTCGCATTTAGCAGATTAGGGGCCAGAATTACTAAACAGGGCAAATTAGCGTGAAAAAAACACATACAAAAAATGCAGATGGGAGTGGAAAGTTCAGTGCGTGATCTATCGACGATGTGCACATTGAAGAACACAGACGCAGCCGGATCATTTCCATAATGACCAACGCAATCTACCAAGAGCAGCGCAAATTAGTTTAAGACGTGCTTTTTTGGGCATGAAATAATGGCACAAATACCAGTAAATTAAATAGCACAAACCTTAGTAAATCATCTTACATGATTCATTTAAATACTCTCCTCTCATAAATTTAGCGTCTGACAGGGAAACGAATCGGTTACCTAACGTAACCTCGGTTCTCTCTAGATGAGGGAACGAGTATTGCGTAAGCTAGCTTACGCTACGTGAAAGATTCATCTTTTCTGAGAAATTGAAGCCAAAAAATTATCCTATAATTTTGTATCCATTGTCAACGGAGTTCAGCTGCAGCAGACCATGAGCGGGCTAGCTAGCAGCTCATTGGTTCGCTCACAGAGAACCGCTTAAGCCTATGAGGAGACGCGAATGAACTCTCGGCCAATGAGAGTCTGACATGCTCTCATTGCGTCAGAGCCCGCCGAAACGGGCGTGGTCAGAGAGTATAAATTCGCCTCTCAGGCTGTAAACACTGGTTTTCATAGAATGAAGCGAGAACGCTAGTAGCACAAGCACGGCCAGGAATGCAATACTCGTTCCCTCATCTAGAGAGAACGTCTCAGGTTACTACTGTAACCATAGTTCCCTGAGAAAGGGAACGAGACGATGCGTCATCGACGCTTTGGGAACGCCCCCAGCGTGAATGCGTCTGAACATCAATGTCAACTAGTCCAATGGAAAGAATGAGCGTCAAGGGCGGGTGACGTCATGACCAGGAAGGCATAAGAGCACATCCGGTGAAACGCGGCATTAGCTTCAAAAAGTCGAAGCAAGCCGATCACAGGGATGCAGGAAGTATGGCAGGGTGGCGCATCGTCTCGTTCCCTTTCTCAGGGAACTATGGTTACAGTAGTAACCTGAGACGTTCCCTTTCGAGGGAACTCGCGATGCGTCATCGACGCTTTGGGAACGAGAATACCCAAAACGCCAGAATTCCAAGTACCTGAGTGTCAGTTTGGAACTAAGCACTAAGCACCTGAGAACCTGGGGCAGCATCCAGGTCCAAACTGTAAAACGTGACGAATGTGAGCGGTGAGGTCCAGCCTGCCGCATCACAAACGTCTTGAAGAGAAACTCCAAAAAGTAAGGCTTTAGAGGCCGCCATACCCCTCGTAGAGTGAGCTCTGACCGCCAAAGGACACGGCTGGTCAGAGTACTCGTATGCAAGTGAAATAGCCTCGACTATCCACTTACTAACCGTCTGTTTAAAAGCAGGAAGACCCTTCTTAGGTGATCCAAAGCAAATAAATAACTGGTCGGACTTCCTCATTGAAGATGTCCGATGAACATAAGTATCCAGTGCTCGCACTAGACACAAGAGGTTCAGCCTTTCCTGGTCCGCAGATGTAAAAGGAGGACAGAAACCTGCAGCACAATAGGCCTCGGAATAATGGTAGGCACCTTTGGAACATATCCATGTTTCGGGTAAGATTGCCTTGGCCATCCCCGGTGCACTCAAGGCAGGTGGGGACCGAAAGGGCCTGAAGGTCTGACTCTAATAGGGACAAAATAGCTAGCAGAAAATAGTCTTAAAAGAAAGGAACTTCTCTGAGACCAAATCTAAGGGCTCGAAGGGAGCCCCAGATAGGGCTTCTAGAACTATTGCAAGGTCCCAAGCCAGCACCCTAGTGCAAGTTGCAGGCCTCAGCCTCAAAGTGCCACGAAGGAAACGAGTGATCAGGGGGTCTCGACCCAAAAATGTACTACCCACCAGGGCGTGGAGAGCCGCAATGGCCGCCACGTATACCTTAAGCGTGGAAGGACATAGACCTGATACAAAGCGTTCTTGCAGAAACTCGAATACTGTGTTTACTGAACAGTTAACCGGATCCCACTGACGCTGGTAACACCAAGAAGTGAAAAACTCTCGAAATAGTGAATATAGTTTCCTCGTAGCGGGAGCTCTGGAGATTAGAATGGTCTCAACAACCTCGGTTGAGAGACCACTCTCTATGAGTTGGGCCCCCTCAGAGGCCAAACCCACAGTTCCCAAATCCCCTGCCGGGGGTGCAATATTGCATCCCCTGCCTGAGACAGAAGGTCTCTCCTGATCGGGACCTCCAAGGGAGGTCTGTCGAGGAGAAAAATTAGGTCCGCAAACCACATTCAGCTCGGCGAGGGTGGTGCTACTAAATAGGCTTATTCCATCCTGGCGGAATCACTCCAGAACTCATGGGAGCAGAGCAACAGGGGGAAATGCGTACAGACGTAGCCTCAGCCACGTCTGCACCATAGCAACCAGCCCCGAGGGGACTGGTTGAGTGAGGGATAACCAGAGTGGACAGTGCGTCGTATGCTGAGACGAGAACAAATCCACTTCTGCCTGGCCATAAAACTCCCATATTTGCTCCACCGCCTCGGGGTGGAGTCCCCTGGCCTCAGCCCCTGCCTCGACAGGGTGTCTGCTCCAATATTCTGGCCCCCCTGGAATATACACTGCCCTCAGACAGCGTAATTTCCTGAGGGACCAAAATAATAGGCCACCAACGTGTTGTCTGTGGGTCAAGAACCAGAGTTTCCTCCATATAACCAAGGCGCGGGGATACTGCCGCGTGATCTTGATCGTACGGAGTGGGTTTCCCCTCAGGGAGAACCCTCTGGTCCTGAGCCACCACTGTAAAGGTCTCACGTACAGCAGGTCAAAGGGTATCACATTGAATGCTGCTGCCCTGAGGCCTAACAGTCACTGTTTCAGAACAACACATGATGGCCCCTCAGGTCTGGGAGGAGATGTCTCAACGCATTGAAGACGACCATCATCTCTAGGCAATTCATGTGCCAAGCGAGATGATGACTCCTCCCAAGCCCTGAGCTGAGCGGCCTTCCAATACCGCTCCCCAGCCGGTGAGGGAAGCATCTGTCGAGATAGCAACTCGATGGCAAAGAGCTCCCAACACCGGACCCTGGGTTAAGAACCAGTGTTTCCTCCATATAACCAAGGCACGAAGGCACCGCCGCGTGATCTTGATCATACGAAGAGGGTTTCCCCTCGGGGAGAACCCTCTGGTCCTGAGCCACCACTGCAAAGGTCTCATGTACAGCAGGCCAAAAGGTATCCCGTTGGACGCTACTGCCACAAGACCCAACAGTCTCTCGAACTGTTTTACAGTGCGTGACTGGCCTAGCCTCAGCTCTTTTGTGGCTGTTACAGCACACGAACGGGCGACAGAGTGGCCCGCATCGTCACTGAATCCCATACCACACCAAGGAAAGTGGTTCTCTGTACTGGAGAAAGCACACTCTTCTTGGCATTGAGCCTCAACCCCAACATCTGCATATGAGCGAGAACGACACCTCGGTGCCGAACCGCTAACTGTTCTGATTCCGCTAGAATCAGCCAGTCATCTATGCAATTCAGAATGCATATACACTGCAACATGGCAGGGCCAGAGCTGCGTCTACACACTTCGTGAATGTGCGGGGTGATAGAGCTAGACCGAAAGGAAGTGCCTGATACTGGTGTTCTTTGCCCCAAAGAAAACCTCAGGAACCTCCTGTGCTGAGGGAGGATGGAGATATGGAAGTATACGTCTTTTAGATCTATCGTGACAAACCAGTCCTCGGATCTGATTTGAGTCACGATCTGTTTGAGTGTCAGCATCTTGGACTTGAGTTCCAGCACCAAACACTCCAACAGACGAAGATCTAGTAAGTGACGCAGCTCTCCATCCTTTTTTGGAGAAATGAGATAACGACTGTAAAGACCCGACGCAATGTCGGGTGAGTACACCTGCTCTATAGCTTTTTTTTGCTAACAGGGCCTTTACCTCTTGCTCCATTACCAGAGCCTGCTCGGAATGCACTAACGTGAGCAACACCCCGTTGTAGCCTGGAGGACGAGAACCAAATCTGCCTCTTACTACTAACTGCAGGACCCATAGAGATATATTTGGCAGTAGCTAATGCGCTGCCAGAAAATCTACCAAGGGAACCAGCCCCTCGAGGCTGGCCTCTGATGTAATAAAGACAGCCAGCTCGGGGACCTGAAGCATACTGGCAGGAACCACCCGAACTGACTGTTTTCGAACCCCCCTCAGAGGGCGCGAGTCCGACACAACGTCGAGTTGACGCTGCGCCAGAAGCTCGCTTGGAGACCGCTGCGCCCCGAGCACCAAGGGTGGCGGGTTGGCAGAACGATCCCCTGAGGGCACCGAGATGGAAAGGGCACCGTATAATGAGGTGTACACCATTCCACCCCGATTGGGGCTGCCCTCACCGGTCTGACGCCGGTGGCGCCAGACCTTTTCCTTCGAGCCGAAGCTTTCTCAGCATGAAGAACGGTCCTCGGATCCGGCTTCTGCTTTGAAGGCTTTGGCTGCTGTGTTGTGTATGAGAAACTAGACGGCTCGAGCTGCTCACGCCCAGCAGCCCCAGGGGGTTGGACATAGCGAGGGAGAGATTATATTGTATCTTTCTCCATGATTCCCATCAAATTGAGCCAGAGGTGTCTCTCAGTGACCACA